CGTTTTTATAGAAAACTCGAAATATCGATGTTGGGAGCATCGATATCGATGTTGTCCAACATCGATATTCTTCCAAAGTGTGGAGATCTCGATGTATAGGAACGTCGATATCGACGTTGTGGAAGGTCGATATCTGGACTGTTCAGATCTCGAGGTAAGTGACTATCGATGTCGATGTTGTGGAACATCTAGATTGGAAAATCTAAAAGTTTGATCTCGAGGTGGCTGGAAACGTCGATATCAATGTTGAGGAATGTCGATATCAATGTTCAGGAACGTCGATATCGATGTTGTATAATGTCGATATCGATGTTCTCAACATCAAGATTCTTCTTGTTCCGCTCTGAAGTCCGTTTCTTGTCCGTGACAAGTCCGTGGCCTTCCTTAGCTCCTCCTTTATCGTCCACTTGGTCCATTTAAGCTATGAAAACATCGTTTTAGCTCCATTTTCGTCCAATTATGCGAATATTCCTGAAATAACATCAAAGAGCAAAGAAAACAATATTTGTGTACAAAATGCAGTTTAAGTGCTAGATATGTATGGAAAAGAGAGGTGAAATGCAAGTAAAACCATAGGAAAATAAAGTCAAAAACCGATGTCATCAGTGATCCATGATCATCCGCATGATCATCTATCACACTTCATGCTATTCTTAATATATTATCATTCCCACAATAATATACAACTAGGGAATTTAGGATTGCTCATAACGAAACATAGATTTCCTTATTCATCAAACATGCAAAACGAATAAAGAAAAAGACATTCATTCACTTAATCAAAATCATGAATCTGTCAATACAAAATATCACGGTACTCATATCGTAAAGCAACATATAGCGCACCTAAACCAACAATTATAGCCTTGGAGCTTTACATAATTTAGAATTGCATCAGATGGATTTAAAGACTATATTTCTAAATGGTGAATGCTTCAACCTGAAGAGTGCATAGTGCATGGACAAGATAAGAAAGTGTATAAACTGGTGAAGTCATTATATGGACTTAAGCAAACCCCTAAATAATGACATGCAAAATGCTCTCAAATGGATTTCGAATCAACGAAGTTGACAAATGCATATATGTCAATGATAACGAGACAGAATTCGTGATTATCTATCTTTATGTGGATGATATCATTATCAATGGTAGTAGTGAAAAAAATAATTAAAGCTACAATAACCAGGTTATCATACAACTTTGATATGAAAGACTTGGGAATAACAAATGTAATACTTGGTATGAGAATTAATAAGATACAAGACGGTTATGTGTTATCTCAAAATCACCTATGTGACAAATCTTAGAGAGATTTGATAAAGATGGAAATTCTGAGGATAGAACTCCAATTGATTATTCATTCTCATTTGAAAAAACATCATGGTGAAGGAGTTCAACAATTAGAATGTTCGAGAATCATAGGAAGCTTAATGCATCTTATGAATAGCACAAGGCCTGATATTGCTAATACTGTGAACAAGCTTAGCAGATATACGAGCAATCCAAGTTTGGATCATTGGAAGGCTATAATTAGACTCCTTATATATCTAAGGTACGTACACTGATAATTATGAACTGCACTACACAAGATATCCATCAGTATCAGATAATTATGAACTGCACTACACAAGATATCCATCAGTATCAGAAGGATATTTTGATGCGAACTGGATCTCATACTCGAATGAGAATAAATTCACAAGTGGATATGTATTCGTTGTCGGTGTAGGTGCTATCTCGTGGAAATCTTCCAAGCAAACGTGTATTGCAAGATCAACTATGGAATCTGAATTCATAGCTTTAGACCTTGCTAGTGACAAAGCTGAGTGGCTTCGAAATTTTCTTGAGAATATTTCTATATGGCTTAAACATACGTCTGGAATTTGCATACATTGTGATAGTCAATCAGTAATAGGAAGGGCAAAAACCCATATTTATAACGAAAAGTTGCGACACGTCCATAGATGATATAATTCTGTCAGAAAATTACTGACAGATGGAGTAATATCTATTGGTTTTGTGAAATCAAAAGATAACTTGGTTGGTCCTTTGACTAAAGCCCTTAATAGAGATCAGGTAGAAATATTATCGAGGAAAATGAAACTAAAGCCTATAGAATGATAAACCACCATGATGGCAACCCAATCTATTTGCACAAACCACTAGTGTTAGGTTCAATGGGACAACCGAATTGTGGGAGGTCGATGGGATCACTCAAGACAAATGTCTCTTCACATTCCTATGATAAGAGTGATATAAATTGGTAAGATTGAATTTATGCTCTTAAATATTCTCTTATCTCCTACGAGAGTGAAGTATAATGAGATACTCTAAGAGAAAAATCTCCTATATTAAGTATAAAATCGGTCGCTTCTATGAAAATGACAAAAGGGTTAGTTCTCTCACTACAAAAGAACAGTTATATAGCGACGGAAAAATCCGTCGGAAATATAAAGGAAATCCGTCGCAATTAAGAATTTGCGACACACTTATTTTTGTCGCTATAGCGCTGTCGCAAACGTATAACGGTCGTTAATCTGTAGCAGTTTTGCGACGGAAAAAATCTGCATTTTGCGACGGAAAGTGACGGAAAAAATGTTTTAAAAAATTTATAAAAAAAATAAAAAAATTATATACTATATATACACATACATATATACATTTTCACATACACATACACCTATATACACATACATTCATACACATACATTACACACATACACATATACATTTCACATACACATACACACATATATATACACATATATTTTCATATACACATACTCATATATACACAAACACACATACACATTCACACATATACACATATACACACATATATATACATACATAAATACTCATACACATATATATATACACACATACACATATACACATATACACACATATATATACATACATAAATACTCATACACATATACATATATACACATACACATACATATAAACACACACATATACACATATATTCATATACACATACAATTACATATACATACACATACATATTCACATTCACATATATATACACATACACATATGCATACATAAACACACACACACATTTACACATACATACACATTCACTTACACATACATATAAACACACACATACACATTCACACATACATATACACATTCACTTATACACACATACACATACACATACATAAACACACACAAACACATCAAACACACATATATACATATATACATACATATATATTATCTTATGGGAGAAATTTGGCGATCCTTGGAGAGATTTAGAAGAAATTTGACGATTTTTGTTTTTTTATCAAAAATTTTTGAAGTCTAATGAAGAAGACGACTCACGGTTTTATATCGGAAAATTTCGTCGCAATCCGTCACAAAATAAAATTAATTTACGCCCCCAAAATTCAAAAAATTTCATCGAAAAACGAAACAAAATACATTGCAACGGAATATTCTGTCGCAATCCGTCACAATTTTTATTTTCTGTCGCAAATCATCTATTTCTTTGTTGTGACAGAATTATCCATCGCAAACCGTAGCAAATTCCGTCGTTATATGCAAGTTTTTTTGTAGTGTCTAAAGTACTTGATGAAAACTATCAGGTGTTGTCCTAGGGCTATAATGGGCGCAACAAATGAACTAATGAGAGAGAGAAGATATTGCATAAGTATTGTTGTCTTGGTGTTCATAAAAGCTGAATAGTTCAAGATATCGTGTTAACTGTTTAGCAAGTACATCCGATAGTATTTCACTATGGAAAGTTCAAATGTAAAACTACCTTTCCAAACCCAGTACACTCTCAATGAACGAGCTTTGTATTGCATATCATCTGTATATAGTGCATTAGTTGCATGAGATATATTTAGATTTCGCCTAACGCAAGACCCTATTTTGATTCTTATGGGGATTGTTGAATTTTGATTTATTTGATAGAATCAAAACAGATCTAGCCCATAAAATCTGTAGAAAATCCATTGATTATGGTAAGTATCAATCAGAATAATATCAAATTTGAATCTGATTGATTCTATAAATTAATGTGAGATACTCTCTCCACTAGTATAAATAGAGGTCTTGGTTAGATCATTTTATACACCACAAGAAAAGAACACATTGAGCATTCACATCTCTATTCATATCTCTCTCTCAGTTTGTTTGGTATTCTGGAAAGCTTATCCAGAATACGCGGTCGTTGTATCATAGGAGTTTACCATACTCCAATAACCTCGAAGCTTTATAGGTGACATGGAAATCGATCTTAAGAAAACTGTGTTTCACAGACTTCGACAATAATTTTTTATTATATGTATTTATCTGGAATCTTTCGAATTGGCGGAGTTTTCTCGTCGTCAACAACCGCCGTCCCCAACAATTTATGTAATTGGCTAGAAAATTCGACCAACTAAAGAAACATGCCATATATCATAGAAAACTTCTAAAACCACACTACACGTTAAATTATAGTTAACCATACAATAATTAGATATTATTGAATTTTTTATATGCCATATATCTATATGAATTGATCTATATGTTTTGTACTTTGAACTAAACTATGACGAATTATTTCAGACAATTATACGCTGATTATCAAATTTTATAAAATAACAAAAAATCCATATCTCACACACACTTCGAATATGGACATAGAATCGTTGAATCGATTCGAAATTAAATAATTTCAAACTGAATTGTGAAATATTTGATACGTATTCATTTTTTAAAGATATCTATATTAATTGAAAAAGTAAAACAAATGTTTGTTGTACTTTTTGTATAATGTATTAAAATACGTAGTGTTTTTGGGGTAAAAAACAAGCATCTTTTTTACCGTAAAATGGTTAAATGGAATAAAGCAAATATAATACGGAAAGTTACTTCTCGGACTCGCACCGGTTGGTCTGACTGACACGCTTTTCACTGCGCTTCTGATAAATGCAAATATATATATACACACACATATATGCAAACACGAAGTCGACCATATCACCTCTCTCTCTCCCCTCAGTTCCAGTGGCTTCTGGGTTTGATTTCTGAGGGTTAGCACAAGATTCTGCGCCTTTTCGGGGTAACTTTTCTTCCTTCAACTCTGTTGTTTTACGTATTTCTTTTCAAAATTCTCTGTCATTTTCTTTGTTTCGTCTTCCAATTCTGTTGGGCTGGTTGGAAAATCGTAGACCGACCCTTTTGTCTTCTTATGTGTTTCCTCTCCGGTATTTTCCCATCTGGGTTCTCTTAATACGTTTGCTAGACTGATGATTTTCTGTTGCAATGGCCTCAGTCGGGTTTAAGTTCGTTTTCCAGGAAAATTGGAGGTAACCCTTTACTGGTTTCCTGGAAAGTTGTGATGGGTTGGGCTTCAATTTTTAAGATTACGCAGGATTAGCTCTTCAAATTGACGATTTAATTTGATGGTAACACAAAAATTGTCTGCAATAACGCAGTAAATCTACCGATATTATCTATGTTAATATCGCTGTACGTCAATGTTATAAACATCATACACTGACTGAATTTGGATGGTATCCATTTTATCAAACAATGTGAAAGGAGCCTTAAAATGTTCTGAGCTTTGATTTTTATGAATTGTATCGTACCTTTTGATATTGCTTACTTGATGCTGAGAAAACTATCCGAGTCTTGAAACGCGGTTTCTCTGTGAAGTTTATTCAGTGATTTTGGTTACAAGATATGATCTTGAGTTCTTTGGCTACATAATACTGATGCAAGTTTTATGACAAAGTTTATGAATGACGTTATAATTTTCAATGGGAACAGAGTTTTGTGAAACCTTGGAGTCCGAATCTGGATGCAACTCCCTTATAACCGAAGGAATAAACCGAGAATCCGAAGAAAAATCATCTTGTTGGAATTATGTTCGATGAGACGGAAATCTGTGGGAATCTTGACTTTTACTCTGCTGCCTTGTTGGGGAGAAATGCTTGTTTCCATCAAGCTGAACAAGAGCTGGCTGCTACCGTTGTTGATGATTTTACGGATGTCGAAGTGGAGGAGCTCGAACGGAGGTTGTGGAGAGACCAGTTGCGTTTGAAGCGGCTAAAGGAACTGAGCAAAGGGACAAAACCCGATGGCTCCGAGAATCCTCTGCAGTTGCAAGAACAGGACAGGAAGAAGAAGAAGACGAATAGAGCGCAAGGTGGGATCTTGAAGTACATGTTGAAAATTATGGAGGTTTGCAAAGCTCATGGTTTTGTTTATGGAATCGTGCAAGAGAACGGGAAAACTGTCATGGGATCCTCTGATAATCTCCGGGAATGGTGGAAAGATACGGTGAGGTTCGACAGGAACGGCCCATATGCCATAGCCAAGCATCTGACTGACAATTCTTCCGGGCTTGGACAGGATTTGGGGTCTCGAGTCGTCGGTTCTACTCCACACACATTGCTCGAGCTTCAGGATACAACTCTCGGGTCGCTTTTATCAGCATTGATGCAGCATTGTAGTCCTCCACAGAGGCGTTTTCCGCTTGATAAGGGTGTTACTCCACCGTGGTGGCCTACAGGGAAGGAAGAGTGGTGGCCCCAATTGTCTTTGCCTGAGGATTGTCGAGGATTTCCTCCACCATACAAGAAACCTCACGATTTAAAGAAGGTCTGGAAAGTCGGGGTCCTCATGTCAGTGATAAAGCACATGTCTCCCGACATTGCCAAGATACGTAAGCTTGTGAGACAGTCTAAATGCTTGCAGGGCAAAATGACAGCCAGAGAAAGCTCCATGTGGCTCGCTGCAATCAACAGAGAAGAGGTCATAGTTGGAGAACTTTACCCTAATACTTTTCCCAGAGAATTCGGTTATTTTCCTGTTTCTGCTTTTGCGAGTGATTCTCCCGTTGTTCCTAAGAGGAAGCTCGAGGCCAATCCGGACATAGCATTGCATCACAAGATCTATAAATGTGAGAATCATCTCTGTCTGTACAGCGAGGCCCAAATGGGATTTTATGACAGGATCTCAAGGGACAACCACCAACTGACATGTTTCTACAGAGGCAACTCATTCGGGATAGGAGCAACAAATCTGCACGAAAACAACCTTAAACCCATGACCCTAAACCAACCCTGTCTCGAAACCAAGCAAGCAGTACTTCCAAATAACCCGTTCTCGCCGTTCTTTGGTCTAACCAGTCGTACGATTCCCGAAGACGGGAAATCAACCATTTATGATCTGTGTTCCGGCTACTACAACATCTCCCACAACATCAAATCTGGAAATGAAGCAACGGCCATGGAAGTCCAGAACATTCTTCAACCGAATATTCAAGATCAATTGAGTGTTCATCAGATGTACAGACAAGTCCAGGGTACTAACGAACTCTTTGAAAGGCAGGCAAGGAAAAGCACAGATCAAACGTCCTTACATGAAGAACAAGCTGTAAGAATGGAGCATCTGCCGAAACATCATGACCCATCCTTATGGTTTCAGTAAGCTATAACCTCTCCTAACCTCACATGGAAACTACTGTTTTTTTTTTTTTTATGAAACATATCTCATGCCCCACATCTTTGGTCTCTTGCTCTTCTTCATTTTCTTCGTGGAGAAGAGCAATTCATGTATTGATGATTCTTTGATTCAGTAGCACATATATTTAACTGTGTATATGTTATATGTACATATACAGCTAAGGTGAATGTTCCTTCTTTTAACAATCTTTCTTCCAGTAATTGAGAGCGAATCGTCAACGTGCTAAGTTATGAAAACCGGACCGGAACCTCGAGGGAATATATCTACAATACCCTTTAAGTGCTACACCTACTTCTACCACTATCCTCCAAACAAAAAATTAAAAAAAAAAAAGTGTTGGACATTATAAAAGACAATAAAATCCCTACATATTAATGAAAACACAAAAAATCCTCTATTTATTTCAATTTAAAAAATTCAAAATTAAAAAAAAAAAGTAAAGTTACGTGACTTTACTTTTCTCCCTCTCTCTCCTAACTTTACTCTTCTTTCCCTCTCTCTCTTAAATTTTTTTCTTCTCTCTCCTAACTCTCACGGTTCTAGCTCTCTCTCTCTTTCAAAACTTCCAATCTTTTGCATTTTGTGCCGAATTCTCACCAAAAATTCTACTTTCTGTTTAAATCTCCAGTTAGATTCGAGATTCGAAGAACAAAGAACGACGAGATGGAAGAACATGACTTTAAAATCATCTCTTTACTTATTTTCGTCATAATTTTCGACCAAGAATGAAAACCTTATGGAATTGAGGGTTAGACAAAAACATGGTAGGTTAAACTTCAATTTCTTTCAGATTTTTTGGATTTTGAAATTTGTTGTTGTCGAGTTAAAGTGTGGTTTCGGGATTTGACCGATAGAAATTTAGGGTTTTGGGTTTTTCAAATTTTTGGGGATTTTGACATAGAATATTGTTGGGTCTCGCTACGGGTTCCTAGCATGCGATCATATCGATCTAGGGTTTGGTTTACTAGGTTTCATGCAGCGGAAGGATAATCTGAACCTAGTCAAACGTCACACGCAACCAAACCTGCAAAACCCGAACATATCGTGTATACCACCGTGGGAATCGAATACTTACCTCTTTCTCGAAGAAACGGAAGTAGGAGTCGATCCGGGGCCTGTTTAATCAACTAGGACTGAAGTTACAGTCCCTCTACACGTATCCACACCGACGGGAAGGATTCCAAACGCTTTTGGAACCGATCTGCTAGGATCTGTGAAGTATATGAAGTGGGATCTAATCCCGGGAGCTAGAACTATGAAAGAAACGATTTCTTCTGAGTTTTTGCTCTGTCTTAGGGTTATTTTCGTCTGTATTAGGTTGAGGACGGCGTCCAATACCCTTCTTATAAGATAGGAACCCTAATCCCTTTTGGAAAGTGACTTTTTCCGAGTATTGACTCGGTCCGAGTCAGAACTCTGACTCGGTCGAGTCAGAACGAATCAGCCCAAGCCCATCAACAAGTTTTGACTCGGTCGAGTCAAAACTCTGACTCTGTCGAGTCAAAACTCTGACTCTGTCGAGTCAACACTCTGACTCTGTCCAAGTCAACACTTTGACTCTGTCCGAGTCAAAACATCAGCCAAGCCCAAAACACTTTCTGGGCTTCGACTCGCATGGAATTGACTCGGTCCGACTGACTCGGTCCGAGTCAGAAGGCTGAAAACGTCCCAACACTCTGATTTGATCCGAAAACCGGTTTTCGACCAAATCCAAGTCTTCCTTTCCGATACTTCACATATAAGTCCATCCCTAATGGTGTGTGACCCTGTAGGCCCATTCGCAGTGGAAGCAACCTCGAGAACCATTCCCGATCTACAAGTCATGGTTAGCCTCTAGCAAGACGCCATGACCACCCACGTTGAATTGAGTCAGAGGTGATCTAACCAAGGCAATAACAGCTCGAGTTCTGATCCTTTGTCTCACGATATCATAAGTTGAACAAGGGCATGGTGTGAGCCACCCTTCAAGTTCAACCGCTTTCTCGTCTTGGCAAATCGACTAATAAAATAGATGCAACTTAATCTATAGCGTGACCACGCATTTTCATAGTCCGACTTCCACGAGAGGGCCCAGCGATATCTCTCCTATTGAGGAGGTGATAAGTCCCATATTGCATGTCTATTATCTCCATATGATTCGTGAACGTATCTGATCAACGCCGTTATAATCATCCGGTTAAAGACGACGTTGGACGCAGTCAAGACACGCCACTCCTCATATCAGATACTCTAGACATCTCAGGTCTGAGGATCCAAGAACGAACCGCTGTATGAGATTCAAGTCATGACTCTGTCCATGTGACAATCTCATGCGGGTCATCCAGTCACTCGTTCACAACGAGAACCCATGATTGTGATCTACATCCAATGCATTGATCACACCTCATGCTAGTCTTGATTCAACATTGTTCCCACAATGATGACTGACTAGGGAGTTTAGAATCATTCTGTAATGATTCAAGGATACCGAAATATAACAAACATGCCAATCATATAACGGGGATGTAATGCATTCATTAATCAATGAATCAATACAAAGTCAAAATGCCATATCACGGATCATCCTAGAGCATTACAACCAACAACGTTCACTGATGATTTCAATCGACACGGTTATGTCTATTTGATGAGACATAAGTCTGAAACACTTGAAATGTTCAAGGCTTTCAGAAAAG